GAAAGTATAATAATTTCGCTTTTTCCAAAGAGGCTCCACATCTGATAGAAGGAAGTTTTCTGAAAGATCTTGGTAGCATTCGATGCAGAATTTCATCTTCTTTTTAAAGGTCATAGACATTTTGGAGCACTTTCAAGGAGTTCTTGCAAAATCACCAAAATCTGCGACCTATGCTTTTTGAGATGCTCAAGTTAGTTTCACAATTTTTCTAAATTTTTACATCAATCCTCCGAAGGAGTCCAAGTTATAAATCGATAGAGCAAACCTCATGGGATATGGCATAACTTTTTTCTCGTTTTTATATCTCGCTAAAATATCTTGAAAAACTTGGTATTAAAACCATCGAATTTTGATAGGTCCCCATCAGCCACATTCGCATCATACACCAATGAGTCTTCGGATTTTGAAAATTCCGGGATGGCATTACGATTTAACACTAATTTTGGCAAGCGAATGCAAATTTAAGAAATCAAATATCTATTTTCGATTTTTGCGAGTACAGCCCGGAATGCGTTCGAAATGAATTATGATGATTTTGTAAGCGAAAACTCCACAAAGGGAAATAAAAAACATCCATTAGAAAGGGGAGAACAAGCTGTATCGAATGACACTCGAGCTGCTCACCGTTTGATCTTCTACGAAGTTTGAGTCGACCAAGAAGGGGAATCGGTAGCATCAATCAAAATCCTACTAAAAAATTTTGAGGGGTTTTATGAAGGAGAAAAAATGTTTTTGTATCTTGTAGGATTTATTCTATCGAATCGTTACTTGGACTCCTTCGGGGGATTGATGTAAAAATTTAAAAAAATTGTGAAACTTGAGCATCTCAAAAAGCATTGATCGCAGACTTTCGTAATTTTTTAGAAGCTCATTGACTATGCTGCAATATTTTTATAACCCTTGGAAAGAGGGTGAAAGCATCGAATGCTACTAAGACCTCTTAGAAATCTTTGTCCCTCACATGTGGCGTCCGTTTGAAAAAAGCGAAATTACTTTCGGAATGACCTAAAACAGTGCTGGCCAAAACTATACTTCCACCCTGAAAACTGCCGTAACTCATCTGCTTCTCAACGAATTAATCTGAAATTTGGTACAGCTGTGTGTTTAACAAGCTACCATCAGCGCCTAGAACAGATCCCGTTTTTGTTTGTTTATTCAGGAAAAAAATCAGAAATTTCGAAAAAAGCAGGCTTGAAGGTTGGCCAAAACTATACTTCCACTTAAAGTTTCTGTCCACTAAAGTAATTCTCGGCTTCCAAAGTATTTTGTGCATATACATAATCAAAAGTCAAAACAATCGCTTTAGTCCAGCTGTGTCATACGTTCATAAGAAACGTTTATCTGCTTTTTTTTCGCTTAAAAATACTTTCATGAGTATTTTGCTCTCGAGAATGTGTTTTTATGAGTAATTTCGCAGTTTTTTGACTGGTTTGGAAGCGATAGAGCTCCATATATCTTAATGCTTAGCGAAGTGAGAACTAGAAAAAAATTGGAGTTTTCATATTTAAAGCGCACTCGATATAGACCTTACAGCAAGCCTGCGCTCAAATTTTTGCCTCCAAAATTGGTTTATGTTATTTTTGTAAGCTCAAAATGATGTAGAGCATCGTTTACATAAAAAGAAGTTTGTACACTGTACTTGCGATTGTTAGCCAAGTCACATTTTGCTTCGCTTTCAAAGCATAAATTCTCGCGGTTAAATGATAATATTTAGGCAATCTTACCAAGTGGTACCTTTCCTGATTTTTTGCCACTATTCAGCTTCTAGATAATGAAAACACCCTGTATTGTATGTTGCCTTTTGACTCACATGAGCATTACGACCAGAACCAAGAATAAGTTCAAGGCTTTAAATCAGTTTTTGTAGGATGAATTCCTCACGGGCTCTCATACGTACAAACAATGTTATTACTCTACTTCACGCTCATAAGAACATTGCAGAAGGAGCTTGAGGGCATAAATTTGAGCGCAGGCCTGGGGTTAGCTGTATGTCGAGTGCGCTCTAAATATGAAAACTCCGATTTTTTTCTAGTTCTCAATTCGCTAAGCATCTTTAAGATAGATGGAGCCCTATCGCTTCCAAACCAGTCAAAAAACTGCGAAATTACTCATAAAAACACATTCTTGGGAACGAAATACGCATGAAAGTATTTTTATGCGAAAAAAAGCAGATAAACGTTTCTTATAAACGTATGACACAGCTGGACTGAAGCGACTGTTTTAACTTTTGATTATGTATATCACAAAATACTTTGGAAGCCGAGAATTACTTTAGTGGACAGAAACCTTAAGTGGAAGTATAGTTTTGGCCAACCTTCAAGCCTTTTTTTCGAAATTCTTGATTTTTCCCTGAATAAACAAACAAAAACGGGATCCGTTCTAGGTGCTGATGGTAGCCTGTTAAACACACAGCTGTACCAAATTTCAGATCAATTCGTTGAAGCAGATGAGTTACGGCAGTTTTCAGGGTGGAAATATAGTTTTGGCCAGCACTGTATTAGGAAGAGCGACGCGTATACTTTCTAAGGTCACTTTGGTTGCTATCTACTAAGCTTCGATTGCAGAGATGTTGCGGGAAAAGAAACACTTCAATGCCGGAATCTTGAGCTAAGCCCATCAAAAATTCCAATGCCAAAAATCCAAAATAGCCGGCATCTTGCAAGGAAAGGATACCAAATTAGTCGGCGGATAAAGATGGATATATATCAGTAGACGCGCCTTTGTACGCTGAATACAAATCTGATTTTCTTTAGCGGAACAAGTTTTCGAAAGAAGTTATGAGCGTTTGCATGTCCAAATTTGTCAAGGTTTGGGTGCCCATGGCTAAAAGCTGTACAAAAACACCGAGAAGTAAAAAATCAGCATTGTATCGAGCCTAATCTGTGCAAAGAAGAAACGAAGGCGGTGGAAATCCGGTGGAAATCGCATAGGTCTTGTTTTATAGCTTTTCTTTAAAGGCAGCGTCCAGGCAAAATCCATCCACCCAGATTAGCACATAGTTGTAAAGAGGAGCCCATGAGTGGCCGATCTGCGTTGGTCCAATCCTTAGACCTTCCCTCTAAAAGGAGATACGGGCCTGTGATACGTATCACAAGCCTCCCCGTCGTATCACAAACCACCTCTAAGGTTCTGCTAATCTGGGGCCTTTCCGTGGCCTTGATTACAGTTGTAAAGTTCAAGTTGTTCAAAACTCCCAAAAAACCCGGTTCTTGGGGACCCTCTCTTCAAGGAGCGGACGAGTTTCGAGTTGCTCGTCCCCATCGTCATGCCAGCGGGGGGAGCTGCAACTGTACGGATGCAGTTGCAGCCCCCCCCCCGCTACATTGCAGTTACATTGCAGTTGCGCTGCACACTGCAACTGCAATGCAACTGCAATGTAGCGGGGGGACGAGCAATTCGAAACTCGTCCGCTCCTTGAAGAGAGGGTCCCCAAGAACCGGGTTTTTTGGGAGTTTTGAACAACTTGGACTTTACAACTGTAATCAGGGCCACGGAAAGGACCCACATTAGCAGAAACATGAAATTTTGCCCGGACGCTGCCCTTAATTTTAAGCCTCTCAATGCTTGGCAAACCTCGACATTCAAACGCTCATAACTTCTTTCAAAGACTTATTCCGCAAAAATGGAAAGCAGATTTGGAATCAGCGTTCAAAGGCGCATTTAATCATATATTGGGTTGACACGAAAGTTCTGTCGCACCATTTTCAAAAATTTAAAACTTCTGATTTTTCCAGTCGATTTGACTGCTTTTATTTTTTATCTGAAACTGTAAATCATGCTCTTTATAAGGACATCTTAGCTGCTTACTATTGATCATCTGTTGCATAGAAAGAGGGGATAGAAGAAAATTAGTCAGAATTCGCATTTTCTGTGTAGGGTCATAAAAAATCGGAAACTTGCGACAATCGGAGCAGTCGTATTGCAAGTTCTTTTACCAGCTCCTTCTGACAGTGCAAAGTTTGCGCCGATTAAGCGTCTCTATGAAATTTGCGATATTCGAGCAAGCGATACAAAAGGGCGAATTCGATTTATTTTGTTATTTTTCAGAAAAATCGTAAATTTTCATAGAGACGCTCAATTAGCGCAAACTTTGCATTGTCAAAAAGAGCTGGTGAAAGAACTTACAATACCGACTGCTCCGATTTTTGTTGCAAGTTTCCGTTTTTTTTTATTCTACACAGAAAATTCAAATTTTGACCAATTTTCTTCTATCGCTCCTCTCTATGCAAAAGATGATCATTAGACAAAATTTAAATTGTCATTATAAAGACCATGCCTTGCTCTTTCTCATAAAAGTAAAAGCAGTCAAATCGGTTGGAAAAATCAGAAGTTGAATTTTTGAAAATGATGCGACAGAACTTTCGTGCCAACCTAATGTATCCATCTTCATACGCCACCTAATGTTGGTGTCCTACCTTTATTACATTTTCTGGCTCTCCCTTTCTAGCTGGGCAAATTCGCGCTGATCGAGCTGTTCTTTGGAAACTTATGAACTTTGACAAAAAATGCCAAAAAACCAATTTTCTTAAGAAACTGTTTTTTGGCATTTTTTCTCGGAATTCATAGCATTTTCGAGAAAAGCTCGAATGACGTGAATTCTGCTAAGCTAGAAGGAGGAAGTCAAATAATCTAGGATATAGCCTGTTTTGGATTTTAAATTACAGTTTTGGAATCTCCAATGAGCTTGCCTCAGAATTCGAGAATTGAAGCAACTTCCTTTTTCGAATGTCTCTGCAAGCAAAGCTCAGTAAAGAGCAAGCAACGTGCCCTTAGAAATATACGCTTTGCTTTTTCTAGCATTATTTTTGTTGTGCAAGATAATCGTAAGAGAAAGAAGTTACGATTTTTCCAAAATGCTGCGAACAACTTTCGGTTCAACCTGATATAATCATAGAAAGGTCGCAACGGCATTCGCCCGCGTCCCGTTTAGACGCGAAACGTCTTCCTCCGGTATTTTCTGCTTCTGAGTGGTCTTTCAAATTGTATTAAATATGACATACCTCGTCGTTTCTGCAATGTTGTACACATTTTCTCGTAGCCATCCACTTATTTTTGAGATAGTCTTCACACAGGTTTCTTGCACTGCTGACCACAGACCAAAGTAGGAAAATGACAACGAAAGTTGACTTCATCTTTGCTTTACCCGAAATTATTTGGTTTCAATCAGAGTATAAAGCATAATCCAACGTTTCAATAATTTTATTAATAAGTCCAACAAAGTGCAGCGAAGATAAGAAGAAAAAGATTTCAAGAGTCGCCAATCTTCTTCAGTCAGACTTTCTTTCTGTTGCCCATCCTCTCAAGAAATTTCTTGGACAGCCAGTAATGTTATGCATGCGAATGTCAAGCTAACAGGGGACTTTCTTCGTTCGACTAAACGTGGTGAAATGGTACTTTTAGGATTCACTAAATATGGAACTGTTAATTCACCCTTTTCGAGAAAAGTGATTAAGACTCAGTAAAGTATGCTGACCATCAACTTCTACAATTGGGCACACTTAGAAGTGATCAAAAGCTTGCCTTGCTAATCTCGTAAGATTGCAGAGCGATATTCAACGAAAGAACATTTACAAGCTCGTAATAACTGACACGAATTTGTTCTAGAATTGACGAAAGAAGGATCACGATCACACTGCAACTATTCAAAGTTATGGCACATACGAAAACAATAATCTTGGCGATGCTTCCATGATACAGCTTAGCATCGATTCCTAATAAGTGGGATTTTCGTCATTAAAAATCAAATCGCTGTATTTCTTGCCTCTGAAAAAAATTTGCGATACCAGGGCGGATATCTCATTCAATTCAAATAAAGTCACTCTCTGATTTAAATTAAAGTTGTCAAGTTCTCACAAGAAGTCACTCTCTGATTTAAATTAAAGTTGTCAAGTTCTCACAAGGAAGCTGATATATTCTTGAATGCTCTACAGCCATGTAATCAAATTATTTCGATTTTGTTCTCACTATGAGTCACTCGACCGAAAAATTTTGGTCTTATGCTAATTTATTACCGTAACTTTCCTGGGAACTTGTCCTAATCTCAAGTCAGGGCTAAATCAAAAGTTCTATCCAATAATGTTAACAGTGGCTATGCGGTCCTCTCTGCACAATAAAGTTTGAACGAATCAGCAACTGTGGAAGTGCCGGGGCGGAATTAGATTGAAAGAAGCATATAAAGGATTGGACAACACCTGTAAAGTACTGAGTACAGCTAAAAAAGCAAGTCTTGCAATGTGAAAGATATGGATAAAATTCTTTTCAGCTTATTTCTGCACTTCAAAAGCCTGATGCTTGTTTTTTTTCTAATCACAGAGGCACGTTTGGACCATATTATACAAGTACCCACTTTTATTTGAAAGACTTTTTCAAGGACTTTTACTTAATATGCATGGTAATTGTGGTAGAGAACGTCATGAGCAATTCAGCATATGATACATAATCTGCTCTTTTGGGTTGAGTGATATCTCAGTTTTTCTTTTATCTATAACTTGTCTGTAGTCAATGGAGGAAGCTCCAGAGATATCACTTCTGCTTGGCTGTAAGGTAGGAGATAGAAATATTTTCACCTCGTCTTTCTTTTACCGTTAAAGAAACAAAGGCAAAGGAATAGTCGAGATGGCGCTTTTCTAAACTCTATACAGTGCTGGCTAAAGATGTAAGTCCACACCAAAAAATTATATTACTATGAATTATGTTGTTGATAAAGCAATCTAACAATAAGATATGGTACAGCTACGTGTGAACTACTGTTCGTAACCGAAACGGGCGGTACCAAAAAAGAATTTAAAAAACAGTTTGAGACTAGAGGTAAGGATTTCACGTAATTTCTAATCATCAAAGCACTTCCTAGATTTTAGAGTCCCAAATGCAAACACTGGTCAAAAGTGTTGAACACTTGCTTAGTCGAGCTGTGGTTTACCCTAAAAATTCCTAATCTGCTCTACTGGCTTGGAGATATATTTGAACGCTTTGTCCCAAAACCTGCGTTTGAGTAAGGGCATAGGGTAACAAAGCAGATAATCGTATCTTTTTAGTTTTGGTTTTTTAGCTTTTTAGCTTCCCACCCTGTTGGCCAGCACTATTTGCAGACAAAGGGTACGCCTAAATGAGCTAAAAAGGCATTCATGCACCTAATTTGTAATTCATACGCTCAGTTCCTTGTATAAAAAATGCTCCTGAGTTTTTCCACAAGCTCCTAGAGATACGGCAGATAAGTAGGTTCTACCTACAAATTTACTGATTTGCCGATTCTCAGAAATCTGACCATCTTGAATGTTATCAAGCTGTTAGCGAAATCAAAAGTCCATATATAGAGTTTCTTGCACCGATTGCACAAGTTCCGGCGTCTAGCGCTATGCTCATCTGAGGAGGAATTTCGATCGTCAAAGTTTAGCTGTTATTGTGGATCACAGCTGTAATTGAGCAATCAAATCTAGAAATTCCTGCAGCTCACTTCACAAACTTGGCATAAACTCAGCTCAAAGCATTTTACATTTTTTTGAAAAGCTAAGATGCATAAAAAATGTTTTGCCGTTATCTTCGTTCTATAAATACTCGCGATACAGCACAGCAACCAGTATCGCATAATGAGTTTGCAGTGGACACAGACGTCAGGTTGAGAGCATTTGATGCCACAGAAAGAATGCGTGATGAGCATTCGTCTATCGATCAGAAACACGAAAATTTCGCACATTTGCATTTCATTTATGCATCCCAATTTGCATTCTCTGAGAAGATCTTCCCATTTTTTGGTAAAGCCCATTCTCAGTTTTGCAAAGTACTAGGTTATTTCAAAAGTTCTGCCCCCTTCGCAGTTGTTGAAATGTGACAAGTTTTTCCAAAATAAATATTTCTGAACAACTTGTAATCCGCTGCTTTAAGCGAGTTTATGTCTGAAAAGTACATTGTGATAGTAGAAAAGGCGATTAAGTTTAAAGGAAAAGTTCCAACAATTTCGCGGAGTTTCCTCTAAAATCCTCTTTTCGACATAGTAGATGCCCGTGATGCTCCCACATAAGGATAGGCAGACACATTTTTGCCATCATTGAATAGCCCATATTTTGGAGATCATATTATGATTAAAAAAATTCCTGTAACCTTCGCTGCATAGAAATTTTTGGCGTGTAAGTATGCCGACTTTTTGATGTTAAGTTTTTTGATGGCTCTTGCTTGCTTTTGCTTTCCTCCATTATAAGCAGTATTGACCACATTACTGTCGCTATGCTTAGATTGCGATCGCTTCTAGAATAGTTAGGGGAATTTCTAATTTTGAAGACGAGTTCAAAGACTCTTATTTTCTATGCGGGAGTAAAAATGTGCATATGTCAACCCATTTCCCTTACCCACTATCAGGTTTCACTTAGAATAAGCTCTGTTTAGTACAGAGGTTTCCTTCACAGAACAAATTTCGTGCAACCGACTGCATTTCGGCAACATCTGTTTTGGGGCTGAAATCACTTGAAAAATATTAGTAAGCGTTCGAAAGAGCAAGGAAAGCGTTTTCTAATGGTATTTATGATATTGCTACGGGTTCAAAATTCTTAAAAAACCGCTGCCAACTAAAATTGGACAGGACCTTGAAGCAGTCTAGTAGTTAGGCTGAAGCAGCAGAGACTCATGAGTAACGGTGACCCCGCACACTTACAATTATGAAGTGCAGCTCTGAAAGTGTTATAGGCGGTCAGTTCATGCAAACCAGTGTTTAACGCGTCGACAATTTAATACAGTAAACATCAATCAGATATCAAGTGGTCTCCATTAGCACTCTGTTACCATCATAGTGGTCCGCAAGCATGATATGCAACAAGCTCAGCAGCAGTACACGGATAAAAATAAAATTTTGAAAGAGATTGTGCTAACCATTACTGCCTGGACCATGTTGGAATGAAAAGCCTCTCCTGTACAACTCATTTCACTTGAGACCACGTCAAAGATGTGCAGAGTGTTTTGCATGAAGCTTGGGGTAACGCTCACATATCCCCCCCCCCAAAAGTATGCGAAATTGCTGGCAAATGGCATCATGCTTCAACTTCAGCAACTATCTGAACTCGGCTAAGCCTGAATAATAGTGAACCATTCACTCAGTGACAGAAAGTAAACTACAAGATTTCAACCAGTTACCATTGAGCAAAAAATCTACACATATGATAAAGAAAACATGAAAGATTATGATGTCTCCATGCCGTTTTTTCTGAACTTTTCCTGCTTCAAGCTCAAAATTATAAAGAGGGATACAGAAAGAAGAGGTGATGCAGCGAATTCATTTGGAGCATCAATTGGCAATTTTGGGCAGAATGCTTGTGCGCTTCATTTCATTCTTCTGTGTCAGAATGTTGACTGTTGATGACTAAGCCTGTGCCATGGTCTAGCAGATCTCAATTTACTGCACATGACATCACAGAAAAATTTCGAAATCTTATATAGAACTTTGTGTGTGTGTGTGTGTGTGTGTGTGTGTGTGTGTGTGTGTGTGTGTGTGTGTGTGTGTGTGTGTGTGTGTGTGTGTGCGTGTGCGTGTGTGTGTGTGTGTGTGTGTGTGTGTGTGTGTGTGTGTGTGTGTGTGTGTGTGTGTGTGTGTGTGTGTGTGTGTGTGTGTGTGTGTGTGTGTGTGTGTGTGTGTGTGTGTGTGTGTGTGTGTGTGTGTGTGTGTGTGTGTGTGTGTGTGTGTGTGTGTGTGTGTGTGTGTGTGTGTGTGTGTGTGTGTGTGTGTGTGTGTATGTGTATGTGTGTGTGTTCCGAATAAAAAATTTTTTTTTCAAACCAATTCAGGCCAAAATTTGCTCGCCTACGTTTCCCGAGCCGTGTCATAGGCTAATTATCTTAACGATCGATATCGGTTTTATCTTTGACAAAATTTGAGCTACGAGGGATACATTCGCTACCGTATAGCTAGCTCTTCGCTATTCCGCAATAGCTATAGCCTGTTCCGAACTTACTGTTCCTTCAAACTAGCAGATATCAACAAGTATAACATCATTTTCCAATTGAGTTCGATTCGTGCATTGTCTTATCGTCGCGCTAAGCTTGTCAAATACGAATGGGAGGCAATGAGCTATCTTATGTTCGTTTCGCTCACGAAAGTGCGTTTCAGGTTGCGTTTCAAATTGTTGCACTCCCTGTTGCATATAGTTGTTGCTGCGCACGATTTTCGATG